GCGTAAACAGGCGTAACTCCGATTTACGCCAGCCTAAAACCAGTCAGAGCTGGGGTTTTCTGATGGTTCAATATGGGCTGGGATGGGGAAGGAGAGTTCAGGTCAAAGAGGATTTTGCATGAGAGAAAAATCACCGCGCTCTTGTTACACTGTTAGGAGTAATAGTTCCTTAGGCACTTGCTTTAGGCTTTAAAACATAGCGTATGGTCAACAAAAGCAAACAATACTATGTACATATATGTAAAAAGTGTTATAAATAGGTTTTTTTAAACCATAGATACTATATACATCTTCAATTAACAAGTAACCCTTTGAGTGTTTCTTTTTGGGGTCGGTTGGGTTTGGTTTTGGTGGGAGGGTTTATTCCTTTTTTTTTTTTTTTTTTTTGGTTAATTTTCTTTTCCGTTTTCTCGTCTATTTTCCCCCGCCTCCGTCTCTTCCGTGGACGTCATGAGTGCCCTTGTCACGCCACGCCGCCTCCCGCGGCATCACTCGCGCTTCCGTAGGATGATGTAGATGATGCCGCTGGCGAGGGCCAAGGGAAAGGCCAGCCACGCCAGGATATAGGCGAAGCCATAGGAGGTGTTTTCCGAGGCTTGGTGCCAGTCCGTGTGCCTCACTGTGAAGATGGCCGCGCCGCTCATCACGCAGAGCCCTGCCGGGGAAGCGCACATAGGAAGGGGTTAGCGATGCCATGCACGGAGCAGTTCCGTGCTGGAAACCCAGAGCCGGAGAGGATAATACCTAATACCAGCATGGGAAACTGTTTTTATTATTGCTCCCTCGTATCCTGTCTCCTGGAAAACTACGGTATGATCTGGGGGGGTGTGATGCTGTGGGCTCTGCCCTGGCTGCAGGTGAGTGGGGATATCTCTGCCAGGCTCTGAGCAAGCAAAGCCGAAGCCCCTGGGGGAAGAAAAGCCGGAGCATCGCCTGGGCTAACCCATCCCTCAGGCAAGCATCAGGCATCCCCCAGCTCCGGGCAGCTGCTCCGGACCAGCCCCACTCCCCCGGGTAGCTTATTTAAAACCCAGACTGTAGCCTGAACCACCCTACCAGAGGTCAGACGCAAACCTTGGTTTTTTTAAAAGCACAAGATTTTCTTTATCACCTGCCCAGGCAAGCGCAGCTGGGAGTCAAGGACGCTCTGGCCGGGCAGGGTCTGTGCTCTGCCATCCCCTGTCCTCCTCCGGGGCTGCGCGAGGAGCTCAACTGCAAGCCCTGCTCTCTGCAAACCCTGCTGCGCCCGCGGTTCGTCCCTTTTCCCCGGCTCCTGGCCTCCGCCCTCGCCAGCCACGGGCCAGCACAGGTCCCCGAGGGCTGTCCGGCTGGGCCCGGCTCCGGTAGGCAGCGTTTTAGCTTCGTTGCAAAAACAACCCATCAGCGTTGGGGACTGCCCAGAGCTAACACAAAGCCACCTCTATTTCTGCCTGAAAACAAGCTCTTTCAGTCAATCCCAGCAGTTCTATTATACAGTCGCGGGGCTGTTGTCGGAGCCGAGTTCCAAATCCCCTGCACAGACCTCGGGACCACCTACATTTAACCACCGTGATATTTGAGCTGTAATTCCACTTGACACTGCTCCTTTGTTCTGGGAAAGTGCAGAAGTGGGAATACGTTTCATTAACGCGCCGCTGGTGCAGTTTTCATTCTCTAAGCACGAGAGCGAACTCCCACTGCCCCGGCCCATGCAGGGAGAGCACAACAATTGTCTGCGGATGCTGGTGGGACAGAGAACAGGCGTGCGGCCACGCCGGTCACCTACAGACAGCAGAAAATACAGCGGCAATTGTCCGCATGAGGAATTTGGCAAAATGCAGGCGACAGTTTCTGCAGCATCTGCACTGATTTGGGCCCAGAGAACACGCTCGGGAAGTGAAGGACAGCTGCATTCAGCTGCTTGCACCGATGCAAGCAATAATGCATCACCACTTTAGAGCCTGATTTTAAGAACACGCTTTAGTCTTGCTTTGACAGGCCAGGAGGCCAAACGCTACCTAAAATCTGTTCCTGCTGGTCTGCGCATTCTGCCCCAGCCCTGCAGACAAGCTGGGATGGGTGCTGGTGCGTGCTTGTAGTCAGCTCTTCAACGCAGGGCTTTGCAAAAAGCTGCAGGACATGGGGAAGGCACAGCCCTCGAGGCTGAGCCTACCCTCTCCACCCCACGGGGACTGCAGCTCTAGGGCGGGAGGGATGAGCGAAAAATGGATAAAGGTGATGCTGAGGCTGGAGAGAATGATGGCAAAGGTGGGTCAAACCCTGAGAGGCCCAAACCACATCTCTCCCATGCTGGGCTTACACAGCTGTCAGAAGTTACCTGTGGATGTGATGGACCCACCAAGGATAGAGGGGAGCTGTTGAGGGCCTTTTGGTGCCTCTGTGACGGCTGAAGTACCATACGGGCAAATTCAGCTAGACTTCAGGGCATGTTTCCAAGCATTGTGGAGAAGATGCTGGGGATGCACATCCTACCCTGCCGCTACCCAATTGACCTCGTGCATCTCTTCTTGCCCTTACCTCCTCCTCTCCCCAGTTCCCCTGAGCTGCAGCCGAAGTCGTAGTGGAGACCAGCCCCTACCCTCCTTCACAGATCTCAGGGCATTGCTGCCCGGTTCTGCCACCCAACAGCACCCAGCAGTCCTGCCCCTGGCACCCGCTGGGTCCAGCAGTGCTGCTAGTCAGGCTCCAACGCTGGAGACCCTTGGCTTTGCATCACCACGCGAGGAGGTGCAGGGTGATGGAAGGTTTCAGGAGGACCCTTCTCATCCCCTCCCAGAAGGAGGGAGGTCCTCTCCAGCTCTGCTGGAGCTGAGGAGAAAGCACTCAAGTGGGTAAGACGCCATCCCTGGCAGACCTGCAGCAGGGCTCTGTGGTGCCAGGGCTTTGCAAGGCATGGACGAACACCTGCAAAGCCCAAAAGCCACAGGAATTTCCTCCATTGGCTTTAGACAGCGGTGGCCTTTCACAGCAAGCTGCAAGGAGACCACGTCAGGCTCAGCTCCTTTGACCAGAGCTGTCCGTACCTTCAGGTGGGATCTCCTGGCAGTGCTGGCATGGCCATGTCCTGCTTCCTACCAACAACCCTGAAATTTAGGGTCACAAAGACCACAGCTGCCCTGAGCCCCCTCCTCCAGCCCTGGCTGGGGAGCACAGCAAGGATGGCCACCATTGCCCACCTCTGCGTGGTCCATCTGGACCCAGACCTCTGCCCACCAGCCCCCAGGCCATGGGAAAGCTTCATAGGGATCGGCTCACACTTTTCCTGTTCTTTGCACTGGGCTGGGGAGTGATTTGACCCAGCAAGGAAAGAGCCAGCATGTCTATGGCCCGACCCTGCATCCCCTTAGGACACCCATTTTCTCCTCCTCTGAGAATGTGGATTCACCAGCAATCACTCAGGAGAGAGAAGCCTTCTGCTCCCAGATCTATTAGACAAGCTCTCAGGCAGATAATTGCATTATTAAAGCCCATTTCCCCTCCTTGTCTCCATGGCTGTAATGGGTTTCTACACATCTATCTTTCCAGAGACGGTGAACTGATCTGAACTCATCACCTGCATTGCAGCCAAGCAGATACACTTACAACAAATTTCATGCCACACTTGCTAATCAAGGTTAGCTCTAAACTTTTCCAGGGTTTGTGAAGGCCAGTCACTTAAAGGGTGCTCAGAAACTTTCTCTAAATTCAGTGGATGAGTTTTTCCACTGATTTAGTGGCAGGACCTACGGTGGCTTTTAGTTTAACATCTAAAGCTCTAGCAAAAGATTCGTCTCCTTCCCAGACAATCTGTCATAATTAAGCCAGAACCTCGTTGCACAATTTAATTTTTCTAGTCTGAACATTGAAAATTCTCTCCACTGGTTTCATACGTGGAAACGTAAATGGAGCCAGTGGCTTTACAGCATCTATATTTGGAGAACTGCAACGTAGGACATGAACCGTGGCTCATTTCCAGCGCTGAGTTCTTTAAGAGTTAAAAATAGTAGCTGACAGTTCAAAGTCAGCTGGCTCACCCTGCACGCTCCAGCGGCTCTTTGCTGATGTGGAAAGCACCAGGCCCCCTTATGGCAAGTTTATAAATAATCATCGGATCTTCTTTCGCCAAAAGAGGATCGTCACTACTTCCCCCGCC